GATCTTGATTTTAGAAGACTCAAGCTGTAGTCCTAAACACACTACGCTGATTCACACAAAACAATCATGGTATTGTGGACAAACCCAAGCAAAGTATCTCACTCATGCACTCCCCACTCCTCCACCTTCTTTCATGTAGCTAGGAGGAAGACTTCTGCCAATATTACTTTCCATTTCAAATAATCTCAGCTTAGTTATGAACAAACCAGGAATCCTGGTTTAAAACTAACAATGGTTACTCAAACAAACCAGATTCATAACCTATGGTTTAAAGTTGGCTCATCTGCAATTAATTATTATTTGCTTTAACCAAGATTCTTGGCTTCCATATAACTTTAAGCCAAGATGTGTTGATACTGAAAGTAATCACAGATGAAGCCCTCTTGGCTGCTTGGGTGGATGAGGGGTGAAGGGCAAACATGTGAGCCTAATGCTTGACTTGGGCTCCATATAGCACTAAACCATACAAAAACCAGTTCATTATATAGGTCCCATTGAGCCCCTTAGAATTATCTCCAAGTAAATATACATTGTACTGTCAGAAAGTATCCAAAATGTTGTGCTATAAAGCATGGTATATACATCCTCCATGTGCTCATCCTTTTATTGTACATAATGAATAAATGTATTGTTTGCTAAACAAGCTTAAAACTGAAAGCTGTATATCAGAAAAGGTGGCCAAGAAGTTGATATGGGCCTTTAAAATGTGTAAGAACCACTCAAGCTAAATACACCTGTAGAATTTTGCATCTATATTAGAAATGTAATGCAGTTTCTAAATATAATATCAAACTCATATAGCCTCAGCAGAATCAATAAGCAATTGGAAAATACCTGCTTTGCCACAGATCTGACGAGAGAACACTACTCACTGTTACACTAGGGGCAATTAATACCCTTTTGGCATCCTTTTATTTTTAACTATGCTCTTAATTCTCCATGGAGCACATATAACCTTTCTGATGTAATGGGCAGTACAGTGGTACCTCGGGTTAAGAACTTAATTCGTTCTGGAGGTCCGTTCTTAACCTGAAACTGTTCTTAACCTGAGGTACCACTTTAGCTAATGGGGCCTCCCGCTGCCACCGCGCGATTTCTGTTCTCATCCTGAAACAAAGTTCTTAACCCGAGGTACTATTTCTGGGTTAGCGGAGTCTGTAACCTGAAGCGTCTGTAACCTGAGGTATCACTGTATAGGGTGGTTATACTGAAATATATATTATATATTTGGCAGAAATTGCCACATCTGATTAAGGTAGCTATGGTCTTGAGTTCATGGAGATGCTAGCAAGAGTTGATAGCTAATTCAAGAATGTGTATGTAAACATTAAATTGCGCTTCTGAAATGATACAGGGTTGTTTCATCCTAGCCTTTTATACTTTGAAACATGGTCCCACCCCACCCATCCCTTTACTAACCTTTGTGAGGTGCATTGGTCTTGCATTCACAGTTGGGGTAGTGGATTGAGAGTTTCTGTTGGGTTTTTGTATGTGGAGTCCTGAAGCAGAGGACCTATGAAGATGCTGAGAAGTGTTAGCATCTGTACTTCCTACTTCATTCTCAGTCTTGCTGTTTTTGCAAAGTGCCCCCTCATTGTACAAAGCACCCTTTTACTATAGCACCTGTCATCAGAGTTCCCTTTGTGTATACATCATGAGGTGAGAGTTATAGCCTCATGTGGCATGTACAGTCATATGAGTGATGGGCTTCCTGTCAGCAGTTTATTTACCAATATTGGTATGCTGTGATTGGATTTAGTTAGTCCAAATTCTCTATTCCATAGCGGCAGTGTGGGTGGAGTGAGAAGAAGTAAGGCAGGCAGTGTGTGTTGTGTCTCTATTGAGTTCAATACAAGCATATTGCTATGCCACCTCTTTTGTAGACATAATAATATGATAGTGTACAGGATAGTGTAGGGGATATGTGAGGGGTGTCAGGTTTCAAAGTCACCCCTCTCCTAGCATATGTACAGTGCTGCTCATTTTTTGATACCGTTTGTTGACTTGTACTGGCAGTGGGGACACACCGGCATCATATCACGCTGGTGTATTCCTAGTGATCTAACAGTGTAGAATTTATGAGGGAGGGATATCTCCAAGACTTAAACTAAATCATAAGGTGCTAAATTTACAGTAACTGATGGAAATTTAGCATAGTAATTGTGCCCCACGGCATTATTTCTTCTATTGTTTAATTGCATAGCAATTTTCAATTTCACTTCAGACTAAAAAGGCCAAAGTCAGACACTATATCTGTGGTCTCCATAATGGCATCCTGATACCTTCAGGCACCCCCATGTCCATCTACCCCTCCCATGTATTTATTTATTTGATGGGGGGGGGCTTTTTGGTTGAGGTGGGTTGTCTGGGTTTGGGAATGCTGACAGTTTTGGTTTTTTAAAAGTGTTTTATTTGGGTTTTTTGCAGCTATTTTGCCCATTGTTTTGACCACAATAGTTTTGTAGATTTTCAGATGTGCTCCTAGCTCCAAAGATTGTGGACACTGCATTAGATTCTAACATGCATCACAAACATCACCTCCACCATCAAATGATAATATATAGATGCAAACTAGTAGCCCAGGTCGAAATGACCAAGCAACACTGGTCATGCCCTGACTTATACTCACTGTTTACACCTGCTTCACCCCTTCCCTTACACAAACAGATAAAACTAACCAGGAAGAGCTTGTTTATCATACCCTCCAAACCCAGGATCCTGATTTGTTGTTTCCAAAGGAGCCAGAGTTTCTTGCTTGTTTGGAAGCAACAACTGGGTTCCCTGTTCGGCATATCACAGTAAGGTAGCCCTTCCTTGTTAGTTTCCATGCTTGCAGGAAGAGAGGTGTAAATGGGCTGCATACACCAGCATGCTGCTTGTTGATAGTAAGAGGCAACAGAAAGATTAAGCTTGTTTAATCATTTGAAAAAGACATATAAACAATTGGAAAATATTGATTCTATTATGAATTACCTGAATATGGATGCATTGTAATTGCAACAGTAGTTCAATAAAGATCTATAAAAGTCTATGTTTCCCATGTTATTGTTTCTGCTTTCCTGTTAAGGGAAACTCATGTTTATCACTGCCCTATTTAAAATTTGTTTTTCCTAATAAATTTACATCCCTGATAAAGACTGTCTATTACCATATTCAACTTTCAGTCTTACATCGCATGCACGCACACATACATACCTGTCACTGACACACTCACGTTCTCCTTCCTGTTTAACTGTTTCCCCAATGCTGTTATAAGGTCACTCTTCCTCCTAACTTCTTCCTGCCACCTCAACATGCAGCTGATGTGTTTCTCCTTTACATCTCATCTGCAAATTGGGGAGGGTGTCTCCTAATCTGGAGCCCTACACAGTCTTCTTAACCTACTATAACTGGGAGAGAAGATAGGGCACAAGCAAATTTCTATTAAGCCACCTGTTCATATGTGCATGTCTTTGCACTTCTTTAAATTGCCCTTAAAGGAGCACTTCATCTGCATGTGAGCTGCATTTAACTCTCAGTTAAGGGTTTTGTCTCTCCTGTCCTAAAAAACGAAAAAAATCTTCTAAAATGTTTATTATAGCACACTACTTGTTTTTACAACACATTTCACCTTGACATCTAAGCACAATAGTAAAAATGTATCAGAATACATTAAAAGTGTGAGTGCTCTGCAATAAGCTGAAGGATATTTTGTTTTGCTTGCTCACCTCTCTCTCTCTCTCTCTCTCTCTCTCTCTTTGCAAAGGAACACATTTTTCAAAATACAAGCCTTTGGCCTCCATCCAGCATTACTCTTGACTGGATCTCTTCCAGCAAGAAATGCCATGAATAAGATGGGACACTATAATATAAGCATCTTGGAGTTTGCAAACAATGTATTAATATAAATTAGTTTAAAAATAAAATTGGTATTTTAAAAATCAATTAAAAACCTCTGTACTGCATCATACTTTTATCTGAGGATAAAGACCCTATATATCTTCTCTGATATGCACATTTACTCAGAAGGAAGACACACTGTGTTCAATAAGCTTCCTCCATCAGTGTGTTTAGGCCTTGCCTTGGATTTCTAGACTGCATTTAATGACTGTCTATATTATAGCGATCTTCTACAGTGCCTATTCCCTTAGGCATTTGATAAATACTGCACATGATTATTAACTCAAAGTGCTTCACAAACATTAACTAGCACTCACAAAAGGGTTTTTTTGTGGAAAAATGGTAAGTTAAACAACTCTAAAAATGCTTATTCATATATTGAGAACCTGCCTTTTCGGAATTGTAACACTCACGTATAACACTGGTATATAAAAAATATTTGTAAGGAGTGATTATAAATCAGGCATCATAACACTTTGTTGGGAGTGAGCCTACATATCTATGACTAGAGGGTGTGTTATTATCTATTTATTACAGGTGGCATCAACCACTCTAGAGATATAGGACTTTACTTGCATCTGATTAAGTAGGCTCTGGTGCACAAAAGCTTATTAAATAATACATTTGTTAGTCATTTTTGCTGCAACAAACACAGCTACAGCTCTGGAATAAATTAGTATTATTGGTAATCTTTAGCCTGATCTATGAGACTGGCAAATTCATCTCTCTGTCCATTACATGAAGAAGAGTCAGAGACTGATTAGATGCAAAGGAGTAGTGGGAACCCCCAAGGGAAGACTCAGAGCCCAGGGAGTGTTCATATGACAAGAGTGAGTGGTAAGAGAGAGAAGACTGGGGGCAGGTGTTGGAAGCTAAAGAGGTAACAGGGCTCGGTAAAGAGGGAGAGTCTGTGGCAGAGAACAGTCCAGACTCAGAGGCAGAAACTCAAACAGGAGAAGAGGGAGGCCAAGAGGCAGAGAAGAATCAGGCTGGTGAAGAAGCACAGGCATCTCTCTATCCTGGTGAGGCAAGCTCCTCTCTCTCCTGGTCTCCCAGGACCAGGAGAGGCATAAAGTGGGAGGAGCAAATTCAGGCATGAAGGCACAGTCTCTCTTTTTTTTTAAAATGATATTTATTACAGTTTCAAAAAAGGTTACAAAAATAGGAAAAAGAGAAAAAAAGAAAAGAAAAAATACAAAATACAGAAAAGTAAAAACACTTAAAAACAAATCAATCTTTCCATGTCTTGTCTTTCATTTACTTGTTTCCCTGACCTCCTCACACCTCCCTTTTTGTATTTTTTTTTTATAAGATATTTATTAAGGTTTTCAAAATATTACAAAGTAAAAAAAAAAAAAAAAGTTAAAAACAACTCAATCTTTCCATTACTTATTTTTCATTAGCTTGTTTCCAGGACCTCCTCATGCCTCCCTTTTTTGTATTCCAGTTCAGTTTGTTGGTTCAGCAAATCCTTCCCCTCTTTGTTTATCCTAATCCTTAATCTTAAAGTATTGTAACATTAAATCTTTACCTGTTAGTAATCCATTTTTCATATTCCCTTATAGTATTTCAGCTAAAAACCACTTAATTTCTATCCAACATCATTCTAACATTCATTAATTTTACAATATTTCTGTAAATAGTCTTTAAATTTCTTCCAATCTTCTTCCACCGACTCTTCTCCCTGGTCTCGGATTCTGCCAGTCATTTCCGCCAGTTCCATATAGTCAATCACCTTCATCTGCCATTCTTCCAGGGTGGGTAGATCTTGTGTCTTCCAATACTTTGCGAACGTGATCCTTGCGGGATGCACATTGGCAACCCACAGTGTTCACAACCCACAGCGGCGTGTCTGCACACGCGCGGGTTGCGTTTCAGCGCTTCTGCGCATGCCGGCCACCAAAACCCGGAAGTAACCTGTTCCGGTACTTCTGGGTTTCGGCGGTCCGTAACCCGAAAAAACGGAACCTGAAGCGTCTGTAACCCAATGTATGACTGTATGTCAGTGCAATGTATTTCCAAAGTCCCAGGTCAGTATTCTCCAACCTTATTCCCAAGTAAGTGGGTAGCCTCAATGATCAACAAGGGGTATAGGGAAAACACACTGGTAACTCTGTGTGTGTATGTGTGTGTGTGAATAAAAATAAGAAGTGTGCAATTAAAATGCTTGCCGTGTGCAATTCCTGCCTGGGAGCTGAATGCCTGGCACTGCTGTTGCCACTGCTGCCTCCCAAGTTGAGTTAGGTTCACCTTTGGCCAGTCTCTGTCAGACCACGAAGGCTGGGGGTAGCCTCTTCCCAGGCCCTTGTGGGGTGGTATAAGGAGGCACTTCTCTTTATTGGTATAAAACTCTTTATAGGATGGGGGCCACTCAGAGACCAGTGGTGGTGGCAGCTGCTGCCCAAAGGACTCCCAAGGAGAGAGGAGAGGAGGCAGAAAGAATGTAGTTGGTCAGGGGAGCCCTGGACACAAAAAGGTTGAAAACCTCCAGGTTAAAGAGACACTTTGCAATCCAGAAAAAATGACAAAGATTTAACTTTTTTAAAAGGGCGCTAATCAAGCATCTGAAGAACTATGCAGTAACTGAATATTTGAGGATGATAATAAGAAGAAAAATAAAGAACTATCAATGCCCATTAAATGTACAGTGGTACCTCAGGTTAAGTACTTAATTCGTTCCGGAGGTCCGTTCTTAACCTGAAGCACCACTTTAGCTAATGGGGCCTCCTGCTGCTGCCGCACCACTGGAGCACGATTTCTGTTCTCATCCTGAAGCAAAGTTCTTAACCCGAGGTACTATTTCTGGGTTAGCGGAGTCTGTAACCTGAAGCGTATGCAGCCCAAGGTACCGCTGGAAATAGAAGTGAAATGCAGGCAGTTCTGTTTTTGTTTTCTGTTGAGCTGAGTAGTTGGGCTGTGTGTGTCAGTCAGATGTGACAACAAAGCTGGCTGTGGGTTTTGTAATTAGACAGGGCTGTGTATATAGGTTTTGACTGGTAGAGAGAATATATATATAAAAAGCTGGGGGGGGGACCATCAGAGCTTCTTGTATTCCCCTCTCTTCAATGTTAACAGGAGAGATGCAAGTTATGGGAGCCTTGAGGGGGGATGGGGTAATGGAGGGGGCGGGGAAACCAGAGCAAGGCCTGAGAATTCTCATCAGTCCTCTGCTCTATTCAGCAGCACTAACAGGAGGATGCGAAGCCTTTGTGGCTACAAATGGGATAAGAAAAACAGCAAGAATAAGCTTGAGAATACTTAGGATTTTGCCCTCTTTCTCAGGGTTAATAGGTACACTGGGTAACTGAGATGTAGAAATTGAATCAGTAGAAAACAAGTCTTCAGAATGATCACTGTTTTTGCCCCTGTCTCCCAGCTAGCTTAATTGGAGGATGCGAAGCTCTGGTAGAAATCCAGAGTGAGGATTTGCAGAGTGTACTGCAAAGTAAAATGTGCAAGAAGCCCAGCCAGATTCTTAATTTTCTTTATCTGGGAAAGAGACTCAGGATTATCATTCCATGTGGGTGGGAATAACATACCCAGTGGAAAGGGGTAATGAGAAAACTATTTCCTTTTGAAAGACAGATCATTTAAAACCCCATTTTAAAAAAATAAGCTGGTTTAAAGGCCGAAAAAGTGTGCTATATGCTGTAGTTCTGCCAGAATGTGATTTCCACAAAGGAAGGAACCTATGTAACTGTATACTTACTGTTTGACAAAGCAAGACTTCTCTGGATTTGATTTTGGTGGAAAAAATGCCATAGAAGTAGAGCTCAGAACTTCTCTTTTGCAGAATCAATGGGAATGAAGGTGTATTAGGAACGATTCTGTCAGTTGCCCCATTAGCTGCTCTGCGGCCCTGTTTAAAAACAATACTTTTAGAAATTGTAAGCCATGTGTTAATTGACATATATTTTAGGAGAGGAAAACCTGGGGGGCACAGTCATCCCCTAAAAGTTTTTCATCTGGTCTCCTGCATATCCTCTGATCCCAAGGACACTCACTGCTACTTCCAAGTTGAGTCACAAGCAAAAGGCTTTCTAACCTACTCTCTGTCAGCATATACAGCAAAGAAGGCTTTGGCATGGCCCTCTCCTCATTATGCACCTTGGTGACTCTCTCCTGCGAGCAAGCCAAGGTATTGGGAAATGGTAGTGAGCCTCCGAGATGTGTAAGGAAAGGGCTCTGCCAAAGCTGCTGTTGTAGTTTGTACTGTGGAGACATTTTTAAAAGAGCCCTTTGCCTCCATCTAAGCCAGGCCTGTCCAAAGTCTGTTTTAGGGGCTTAATCATTTTGGGGTTGGTTTAATACGGCCCCTGTGGCAGTTTATATCTTGGGCTAAAATCCTAAAAAAACCTCAACATCTTCAATCCTAAAAGAAGCTCAACAACTCCAACCCTTAGAAAAGCTCAACAACTTTGGTCGGCCCCCACAGCCCTTCACTTCATCAAATCTGGCACTCTTTGAAAAAAATTTGGACACCACTGATAAGCCCTTGGGCATGAGTCTATGAGCAGAGCCAATGTCACTGGCTCTCTGTTGAAAGCTGGCCAAAGTTTTACAAATCTTGCTGCCCACCCAAGTTCTAGTTAGCACTTCCTCCTGAAATATCCACCAACTTTTCAAATCCCCCTTTCCCTTCAGCATTTCCTCTTAAATCCTTCACTCTTGTCAGAACGAGAGCTCAGAACCAGATGCAACACAGCAAGAAATGAATGTCTGAATTGGAAGCAGCGCCACTAGCTTCTTCCTATGATTCCTGTGCCCTTCCTGTCCATATTTTCTGCAAATTAATCACCAAAGGCTGCTGATTCCTTTGTTCTTAACCCACCCACCCCTATCTCATCTACAAGCAGGGTCTTTCCTGCTTTCCAACTTTGCTCCCCATCTCCCTGCTTCACTCCAGTCCTGCTTTCAATTCTGCGACGTCATCACTATTTCAGAGGACAAATTTGCTGCTCTAGTTATATCTGTACACTTGAGGGAAAGATCCACAGAAATGAAGGAATATTTCCCCTAATCCAGAGGGTGTCTACAACGAAACGTTTTCTGTCTCTAAAAAAATGTTGTGACCGCAGGCACAGCTTCAGGGCTGTTGTCAGGGCAGGGCTTTGGAGCCAAAGTTTAGGGCAATGTGCAGGAGATGCCCCCCACAAATAGAGCAGGACTGGCTTATCACAGTTTTGAAGGTCTTATAGTCCAGTGTCTGCAGTTATTTATTTCTCTATCACCCTTCATTTGAGGACCACAGGGTAGTTTACAGTATAAAAACCCAAGTGCACCGCTTCCAGGGAGCTCTGTACTTAATACGATGGTTGTTTCATAGGTCAGAGAATGCTTTATAAAACATAAAGGGGCAATTCTTAACTCAGTTGGGCTCTTGATATTGCTGAGGTGTTTTATGAAGTGAATTCCAGGATTCACGGTGGGGTGGGGGGGTTGCTGCCTTATTTTCAAAAGCCACACTTTAAAGCTCTTGTAGTGCGGCAATAATTGGGGAAGGGGTGAAAACGTGTATGTGTTTCCCCAGGTATTTATTTCGCCGCAAACGTCCGTGTTAGGTTGGGCAACAGAAATCTGAGGCGGATGCCCCGTGACTGAAAACTGGGGCGCCCTCAGTGTGTGCGTCGGGTGGGGTGGGGGTTGTCTGGCTGAAACTGGCACATACACACGGCTTGCGAGGAGGACTAAATGAAAGGCAGGGAGCAGGCGCCCCCTTTACTCTGTGTAAAGAGGACGGGCTCGAAGCTCCCAGGCTCGGCAGAGCTTGGCGCCTCTGAAACTCAGTGAGAAGCGCCCCCGGCTAGGGAGTGGGGGTGGGGGAGGGAAAGGCTGTTCCCAGCTCCGAACCGCGTTTTCCCGCTCACTCCCCTCCCCTCTCGCTAAACGAGATATTCGGCTCTCTCACTCCGTCGTTTGTCGACTGTATGCCGCCGCCGCGGCCGGGACTCGTTCCCCCCGCCTCACACACAGCATATTTACACGCACAACTTCGTTTTTCACGCCGGCCGAAGCGTCCTTCAAATCCCAGAACGCGCCGGGCTTGTTTTTCGCTCGTCCTAACCCTCGCAAGGGGATGAGAAAGCGAAGGCTCGCGGCAGTGAGACCGGGGGGACTACTTGACGTGGTTGCCACAGTCTCGGCGGAGGGGTTTTAGCGAGAGAGAGCGGCTGAGCGATACTGCGGCTCTGCTCAGCGCTTCCTGGAAACTCCCGCTTAGGAGCGGGTGGGGCGGCCAGGAGGGGGGCGGGGAGCACGTCCTACACTGTGAGGGGAATGGGCGGGTAGTCAGGTAAAAAGCGAGCCTGAGCCCAGAGGGCAGCGCAAGAGTACAGAACTGAAAAGTAATCGTCACAGGGGCACCACATACAGCGCTCACTGTCTGAACAACAACAAAAAAGACCACAAAACCCGCACATTTTAAAGGGGGTACAGATGTACACTTGACCTAAAAAGAGAGCAGAGGAGTTTGGTATCTGTCGTCCAAACAGGAACACAAAAGACACCCCCTTCATAAGGGGGAAAAAAAACCATCCGTTTACAGAACACAGCAGGGGGGAAGGGCAGAATGACCCCAATAACAAAGTCAAGGGGCGCAGAAGCACTGCTCCCAAGCGGAACCCCAAACCCCGAAATTGGGGTGGGGCGAAACGAGGAACCTTTGTTGTCCACGGAAGAAAGCCCACTCCTTCCAATCACAATTTAAAAACAACAACCCCATGGGCGCGTGTAATTCTCACAACTCAAAAACACGGGGGCGAGTGAGGGAGGGGTGAACCCCGAATCGTGAGATAGTGGAGCGCCTTCTCTGAAGGCGAGGGGGCGCCCAGACCACTAAAATCTAAGGCAGGTCGGCTTTTGCTTACTTCCAAACAAGGAAAATCTAACTTTTCCATGGGGGTGTGTGTATGTGTGTGTGTTTCAGAGTCTGCTGTAGCTTGCGCCACTATCCCAAATGGAGAGTTAATTAAACCCCCCCAAAGCTGGAAAGCGCACAGCAGCAGTCATCCCCACCTCTCCATACTCCTACAGATTTAGAAAGGGCTAGAATAAGGGGCAAACCCGGTTCGGTGTGTCCCCCCCCCCTTTATCTCCCTTTATTTTTTTTGCTACTAGAGTGCCTCCCCCCCAACCCCCACACACTCCTCTTTCTCAGTCTCCTTTCTGAGACCTTCAATTTATCCCATCACCAAGCTGCATGTCAGCTGGGAGGTGGGGAACAGGCTCCATAGCAAGCTGCTGCTACAGCAGCATCGCAGAGGGTTAATGGCAGAGCAGAGCTGGAGGATGGGGGAGGGGAGGCAGGGTTTGTAAATGGAAACATTGGTACATAAGCATTTAGCACAATCAGGAGGAAAAACGGCCCAACTGCAGGGAAGAGAACAAAAACTCTCCCTGTGCTGCCCCCTGGCGCCGGTTCTTGCAAATTTCCCTTAGCAAAAGGGAGAAAATATGTATATGCGTGTGCATTACTCCAATTAAACTGCCTTCTTTCTTTTTGTTTGTTTGGCTACTTTTATTTGCATGTGAAACAGGCCAAGCACACAGACGAACTCCTAGATTGCAGGCAGGGTTATCTCAAGTTCAGATTCATGTTAATACTATTATGTGCATATTCCGTAGTCACAACAGGGGCTTATCTGGTCATAGGATCAAGGGTGTAAGTAGGGAAGGAGGAAGCAAGGGTGTGCGAACTTTGGGAAGAGATGATTTTTGAGGTGGGAGAGGGTGGTGCTGTTGTGAAAGCAAGAGAGATAAGAGTAGGAACCACTGGTTAATTTATCAATAAAAACTATGTGTGGCTGGGGTGGGGAAAGCTTGTCTGCACCTTCTCTGGGCACTCCATTATTCATATGTAGCAGAGCACAATTATGGTATTTAAAATAGAAATAAAAAGAAATTGTTGTAGATGGACCATCCATCAGTTCCCATACCACCTAGACCACTGTTTGCCTAAGCAAAGAGAATATTCCACTAGAAATGCTTGCAGAGCAAATAGCTCTGCTACGCTTAGCAAACGATGCCAGCCATATCCTACACTTAGTGGCAAACAATCAAATCAAGAGCTTCCTTAACTTTGTCAGAGTGGACCTCTCCTAGTACTAAAAACAAACACCAACGAGGAGGACTCTTGTGCCACATTAGACTAACAGATTTATTGAGTAATAACAATGGTTTTTCACATTACATGTGTTAATCGACACCAACATGGTTGGCTCTACCATTCAGCAGACAGAGGCACCTGGTTTTGTGTGTTATGAAAGGGCAGCAAATTGTTAGGTTTTTTAAATTTATGATTGTTCTGTTTTTACTGTCTGGGAAGGGAAAGAGGCACGTGTGATTCTCTGCCTCGGGTGCCAAAATATATGCCTTGACTAGGGGAAGCAGTATTTGCTTTCTGCCTCAAGCAGTAAAATGCCTTGGGCAGCTCTGCTTACCAATGACAAGATGTCTGTGCTATCAGCAGCTATATTTTTTGTGAATGGCCCCTGTTGATTACATAATTATCACCACCTCTGTACTTTTTGCATTCAATTTCCCTCTGACTTCACTGTTTATAATCCCCTCCCCCAAACTTCAGTCTATGTATGTGTGTGTAATATGTGTGCGTGTGTAAAACTCAAGATTTGTGCATCTGATAAAGTGGGCTGTAATCTATTAAAGTTTAAACCATAATAAATTTGTTAGCCTTTAAGATGTCACAATAGGCTCTTACTTTTGCTGGAAAAGATTTTCGCAGCTATTGCTATGCAAACCTCTTCAAATGTACGACAGACAATTCAGGTAACAGTATAAGCTCAACCCAGACTTAGGGCCATACATCCAACCTCAACCCTAAAAGAAAGGAAGCAGGGTTATACTTTTAATCCTGGACTTCCCTGGCAACTGTCCATGGCTTCCACGTTGAGAAAGACTGATTAAAAGCAATTTCAAGGGCTTCTTACTTCTGTTACTGAAGGGCAAACATGGTACAAGACACTCCTCCCCCCCCCCCACATTGTTTTGTTTTGTTTTTACTTAAAATAGGATCATTATCAACCCTCTTCCATTTCTGCCAATGCTGACAAAGGGAGGCATTAAGCTAACACCAGTGCCAGCAGGGTTCCATGCATTTGCTTCAACAGATTCCTGTTTAATAGAGCCTAGCACACTTTTGGTGCTAAGTAAACGTTAAAATTGTAGAAGTCATTCGTAGGTGTAGTGTTTTCAGAGGTTGTCAATTGCTTGCATGTTCTGAATCTTACTAGAGTATATCTACAAGTGGTACCAATTTGTCTGGACATAATATTGCCTCACAAGAATAAGGATCTGCCTTGTATCATGTCAGTCCAACAGTCCATCTGGCTCCTTATTGTTTACGCTGACTAGAGGCAGCCCTCCAGGGTCTTAAGGGAGGGATCTCTCTCAGCCTCCAGAGTTGAGAAAATGTAACTGAAGATGCTGAAGGTTAAAACAGAGCTTTTACACATAGAAAGCACATGCTCTGGTACTAAGTTATCACCTCTCCCCTCTCTACTTAAAACCAGACAACTTTAGTAGTACAATTTTTTCCCTGTGGTCAGTGTTCCTTGCTTCTCCCAGGCTTCTCCATGCCATTCTCCCTGGTTTTCTCCTACCCCAGAAAGTCAGTTGGCATTTTGTGCCCACTGAGCATATTCAGCCCACACTGTTCTAGTTGGGTTTTTTTGTTTGTTTTTTGTTTGGTCTCTCTCTTTTTCTTTTTGTATTTTTCCAAACCTTGAAGTTCTCCCAAGCCTGCGAATATCTCCCTTTTATACATGGATGGTGCTGTTTTGGCTACATAAGGATCCAGGGAGAATGAATTTGCTATTAGCATGGTGTAACAGATGCAATTTTTAAATTCTGTACCCTTTTCTCATTTTCAAGCAGTCCCTCTCCATACTCTTAAAATGGTTATGGCAATTCTGAAAGCAATAGAAAATGAATCTTGTACATCTCTAGTTCAGCTACTACACCTTTTTACCCTGGACTCTCAAAACATGGACATGACAGTGACTTAGTACAGCTGCTGAGAGCAAGTAAAGGCATAAATAGGATGGAAATATGGAGTTTCTCTTTCAGATACTTGAAGCGCCCTTAAATCTGGGGAAAGGGGTTCAGGGTAGGGGGAAGGCATGTGTCTGAAAACAGAACAAATCATATTTAAGTCACTTCTCTCTTCACATGTTAACAATTTCCTCTTCTTCCTTTTTTAACTAGGTAAAATGAATCCAGAAATGATCAGCTGATAAGATCTCATCAGATGTAAGAAATATTCTCTACTTTCTTTGTACTCACCCTTGCATTGTTGGATTTCCTTTGAATGTGGAGGGCACCACATAGACTATGATAACTCATGCTATAAGGAAAATTACTCGTGCATTCTGTACCATTATTTAATAATTCACCATTACTTAATGTATCTTAGAAGTTAATGCCTCATAAATGTAGCTACATTTATTTTTTTAAAAAATCAGTCTCAATTTTCCTAGATCTTGGGTATGCATGTAGAGGACAAACATTTTAAGGTTTCGACAAGTTTGGAGACTGATGAAAGGGCGGGTGGGGGGGGGGGAGATGTGTCCTTGTTGTAATTGCAAGGTAAGTGTCTCTTCCTCTCTGCTTTCCTCTTCATGCTTTAATCATTTTGACACCAGGCTGTACAGAAGTAATTTAAAATTAATGTGATTGACACTCTGTGGATAGCAAGGCCCAATGCAGAGCTCCACCTCCTACACAGGATGGCTCCAGTGCAGCTTTCAATTGGCTGCCAAGCTTAAGGCAGCTGACACAACACCTAGCAAAAATACAGCAAACAATTAATTTGCTAATTTCGTTTTCTCTTTAATTTGAAACCAGAAAATTGTCAGCCATCAGGTCAGAAGCGTAGTAGCTGTCTAGTCTTGGGATTCTGTGTTGAGAGAGCACTTGTCGTGTTAGTTGAAGCAGGAGAATGGAAGCCAGAAAAGTAGACAGCTCAGCTATCCAGACAGATGAAGGGCAAGCTATAAACAGTTTTAATAGAAATAAATAACATTTAAGAAGTCTAAACAAGTTATGTACCCAAGTATTGAAAGCAAGGGAAGAGAGACAATTGAGAAGCTTGAAACTGGAGGGTTAGAGGTGGAAAGATGGGAGAGACAGAGAAGATTTTATACCAAAATCCAGGACAGACAAAAGGAAGGACTTCTTCACACAGCACACAGTTAAATTATGGAATGCTGGTTGGCTACTGTGAGAACAGGATGCTGGACTAGATGGGCCACTGGTCTGATCCAGCAGGGCTCTTATTATTGTCCTGTGTTCAAAGGGGCTTGCCTGATGTGGCATTGAGGCAGCCTTTCATGGAACAGGAAGCAAACTGATGGCTGTGTGTTTTATCGCAGGGACAAAAAACTTTTATCCTTTTACTTCACATTCCCTCTAAGACTGGGAATAGGAGATACTCTGGCAGGTCTACCCTCTTCCATGCTAAACTTGGAGGACCTCAAAATAAGAAGTGTGAACACACTAAAACAATGTTGATCGCCCCAACGCTACTAATTAAAAAGAGACATCGGTAATTTTAGAAGTGGTGTATGACATGGCTTGTTTATATACTGTCTTTTAGTCCAAAGCCCCATGAATACTGCTTTCTCAGTGAGCCATGAATGCTGGCTATGTTCTGTCTCTAATGATGCAGAGACAGCATGTCTCTGAATGCTAGTTGCAGGGAATCACAGATGGAGAGAGTTCTGTTGCACTCACATCCTGCTTTGGGCTTCCCGGAGAAGACACCTGGTGAGCCACTGTGAGAATAGGATGCTGGACTCTACTGCTATTTGCTCCTGCTTCCCCACACACAATACAGAATCCTCTGTGAGGTTGCACAACTAGCAGCTTCATCACCAAAGTAAACATTAAAGTCCACACTTAAACCTTCCCCATTTTTTTTCCTAATTCTGCCCGCACATTATTTGCATTCTGCAATTTGTCATTTACTTTGTTGGTAGACTTTATGACAATCAATGGCTGTTTCATAGCCTAGCAGTGAGGCTCAATAGTTAGAATACCAGTGAATATGTTGCGTTGGTTGATGAAGTAGGGTGGGATGGGAAGGCAGCAGGCTCACAGGTGAATGGATAAAAAAAAATTAATACACATGATGATACTCACTGAAAACATTGTCTTGTTGTCCATCTAAGCACCAATTTGGAAAAAGACTGGGCAGGAGGCAAGCAGCATTACTACAACAGATGAATTAATAGGTGCATTAGATACTAGTGTGTCTGGGTCTTGAAAACCTCAGTGAAACTTCAAATATATTGGGAGCGGGGGAAACCAGTTCGTTATGTTTCAGCAACACTGTTTTCCATTGGGTCCATGGAAACTAATTTTCTAATCAGCAAACAATAAAAAAGCAGCCTGAGTGATTCCCATCCGCAGTTTGGATTCCAATTCTATCAAGGGAGGAAAAGCCAGCTCAATTCAGTAAGGCAGCACTGAACCTCTAATTGACATAATTGAGACAGACCAGCCACTGGATTGATAGGGCAGAGAAAGGGAGCAGGTGTCCTGATCGGAGAAAGAAATGGAAATCCAGGACTGCAGCATCCCTCTTATTCCATACTCTTATAGCAAATGAAAACCCTAAGATGAGTTGATTCACAATGTAGTGAAGTCAAAGGCAAACTGGCAAGAGTCACCTAGGCAAGGGTACTCATGTTGTCCCCAAAGCCTATTTCAACATTTGTGGGTGTTGTTGGAATAAATCCATATGCTGTGTGTGAATAATGCAGAGAACTTCCCCTGGCACATCTACAGCACCAGGCGAATTTCTCACCATGTTTTATTTGCAACTAAGATAGTTTTTATTCCGTATTAGCTTATATTGCCCTTGGCTTGCAATACTTTTCTCATTTGTCTCCCTAACTACCCTGCTATGTAAGACCAGCGAGTGAATAGCCTTTAATTTTCCTACCCCAAGAGTCCATCTTTTGTCTCTTGCCTTATTTATAAAAATATTTGTACACCACTTTTAATTAAAAGATCAAAGCAGTTTTCAACAATCACATGTATGTACAGTAAATACTACGTAAAATTGGAGATCATATAACTATTACAGAAAAATATTTTCTGAATTTCTTAATAAGCTTGGTGGCACAGAAAAGCTTTCAGCATACGTCTGAAGGTTAAAACAGAAGGTGCCTGCTGAATTTCTATTGGCAGAGTGTTCAACGGGATTGGGCTGACTGTACTAATGGCTCAGTTTCTTGTTGCTGTCATGTGAGCCTCGCCAACTGGGGAAACTACTACCCACACTCCTGCAGATTATCTCAGTGAATGAGCTGGGATATAAAGGTTTAGGTGGTCCATAATGCACCCTGGACTGAAATTGCGTAAAGATGTAGATTCATACAAGGACCTTGAACTTGGCTTAGTAATAAATGTGCAGCGAGATATTTTAACAATGGCTTCACTCCCTTCCAACTCTACAATTCTATGATTCTATGTTGAAAGCCGTGTGTCCTATCAGTAGTCTGGCCACAACATTCTGCACCAGCCATGCTCATAAGTCCATCAAGTTAGGAAAAAAACATATTGTCCAGCTTGTGTCGCTCTTACATCACATTAAAGAAATTAGAGAGATTGTAGCGGTGCATTTTTTTCGTAAAACATCCCTGGTTAGTCAGCTGCAGGTGATTTCTTTTCACCAATGACAATCAGATTGGCAAATTCCAAGTTAAAAAAAAAATCAAGTCAAATTTTGATCGGTTATGAATTAATTAATTACACCATGCAGCTCCTTCATTCATCTAATTGTCCTGGGCTTTGGGTAGAAGGAAGACTAATCTAAATATTTGCATAACATGGAGTGCTATTTACATAAGAGTTTTGGTATAATTTGCAACAAAAAGCTAGCCATTTTACTCAGAAGTAATCCCCAGTGACGTGAATTATGTTTTGTCAGACCAAAAGATCATCATTTCTCCCTTGTAGAAAGATTGAGAAGCAATGACAGTACAGAGATTGCTAGCTTTCAAGGGTTTTATCCAATGTGGCATTAAAATTTAAAACTCGAGGCTATTTTAAACAATTTAAAGTAAGCAAATGATTTAATACACAGCAAACTGAAGACAGCAGGTAGCTGGGAAAACAGTTCACTTAAAGGTCTACTAAAACAAGCAATGCTTTGTCCACTAAAATAAAACCGTTTCCAGTATATGCTTATATGTGGCAATGAGGGCACCAGACTCAATTTTCTTTAGGTTTTTAAAAAACGTTTGTTTGGAATGCTCAAAGGATAAGAAGTGTGCAGGGAGGTGAAACCTACAAGCTGCAGCCCAATGTTAGCCAAGCCCTGCTCCTTGCATTGCTTTCTAAAAACAGTTACTTAGGGGAACACCCTGAAAGGTATGGTGGTCAAGCCCCTTCTAGCCTTCCTCTAATTCAAGCACTGAACATGGGTTGATCTAAAGAGACAGCTTGAATAAACAAACAGTGCTGATGCATACTGCTAAAGAAACACCTGATAGAAAGATCCAGGTAGAGGGGGCATGGAGGTCCTTCACATAGAAAAAGGGGTCAAATCGTGCCCCCTTCCAGCCTTCTAAAACTGCAGCAAAGGGAGCCATCCCCAAACATAGAGAATGATTCCCTCGCCTGCACTTCAAGCACTTGGAGATGGAACATTCTCTTATCTATCTATCTATCTATCTATCTATCTATCCATCCACACACTGCAGAAGTCCACACACACAGAAGGACATGGTAAAATAATGGGGGAAATTCCTATTCTGGGTTAGCTTTGTTTCCAATGACCTGCACAGAGTCAGGGCACAATCTGGAACTTTGTTCTCTTGCACCATGCTGATGCACAACCACTACCTTTGCAGGAATGCAGACAGCCAGATCAGACCTAGAAGATGTCAAAACGTACACGACAACTAGAGATTAGAACTGCAGACCAACTACTTTCCTGGCTGGAAGTTTGGCGTTTGCTCAGGCCAATCACAAGAGCTTCACCCAGAGAACAGAGCCACAGGTTTGCAGTTCCTTTTGATGAACTATTAAAATAGCTTCTCCCACCTCCACCGAAAGCACCCGGAGCCCAAGGTATAATAAACAAATGCGCCAGAATCATGGCTACCAGCAGAGTTTACTCTGGTGCTCTGTTTACTCAAATGTTGTGGATAAGACAAATACCTGGATTTATGCGGATTATGCTATGTTCGAAATAGCACTGTAATGCAAGTAGCATAGCCTCTTCTACTTTTTCTTCTACTATTCCAACTTGGGGTGCCTGGCCTGGTGCATCTTCCATCCATGTCTGAAAGCCCCACATTCATCAGCACAACTCCTCTTGCTGTAGAACAGTGGTGTGGGAGCCTTTGTAGCCTGAGGGCCACATTCCCTTCTGGTCTACCTACTAGGGGCCACATTCTGGCAGGGCCAGAAGCAACAGCGGACAGAGCAATGAAGTTAAACTTTGCCTTTGTCCAGTAGGCTAGTTTCTACACACACTTGCACATTCCTCTTAAAGCTCCATCCAGACAAGCAGGAGGCATTAGAATTCAAGAATACATTTCAACCAAGCAAAAGCAAGGGAAGGTAGAGTTCTGAGGACCAGGCAGAGAGGCCGTAGGCTCTCTACCCTAGCTGTGGAGCCTACTACTGTGTGGCATCTTCAACTGGCAAGAGTTAAATGTGGCTTGGCACCCCTACCCCTCAAAAAGAGCAAGACAAACTAATTTTGGGTATCTATGATATACAGTGGTGCCCCGCAAGACGAATGCCTCGCAAGACGGAAAACCCGCTAGACGAAAGGGTTTTCCGTTTTTGAGTTGCTTCGCAGGACGAATTCCCCTATGGGCTTGCTTCGCAAGACGAAAATGTCTTGCAAGTCTAGAGATTTTTTTTTCGCTTTCCCCCCCCTTTATCTAATCTGCTAAGCCTTTAATAGCCTTTAATAGCCTTTTAGCAGCTAATCCCCTAAGCCTTTAAGCCTTTAATAGCCGCTAAACCGCTAATAGCGCTAATCTGTTAAGCCGCTAATAGGGTTGCTTCGCAAGACGAAAAAACCGCTAGACGAAGACTCTCGCGGAACGGATTAATTTCGTCTTGCGAGGCACCACTGTATACAGAGGGTAAATGTGTGTCTACCAGTAAGACAGGAGGATAAACTAGCCCAGGGGTCTGCAACCTTTAAGACAAAAAGAGCCACTTGGACCCGTTTCCGAAGGAAAAAAAACTGGGAGCCGCAAAACTCGTCATTATAAAAATAACTTTTTTGTCACATTTTTATTATTATTTCTTTGTTTGACCCCTCAGAATTACTCCTCCTCATAGAAATAAACATTAAATTAACAAGTTACCTTTTTTTGTGTGTGTGTTCTTCACTCCCCTTCAAAACAGTGACAAGCGTACATGCCCCCTTTCAATGTAGCAGGCGGGCGGGAAGGTGACGTTGGGACGGTGCGTGACTAACGCACGCACCACCCCCATGCGACATCACAGCCAGTACAGCGCCCGCCACAGTGGGGAGTGTCGGGGCGCACAATGCGCCTCCTCCCCTCGCTAGTATCCGCCCCGGAGCCGCGGCAAAGGTGTAAAAGAGCCACATGTGGCTCCGGAGCCGCGGGTTGCAGACCCCTGAACTAGCCCCTAAATGGTGACATGCATTCTAATGAATTGGTGTTATCTGATATTTTAGAAACTCTGATGTGCCAGTTATGTTAGTTCTTTGATACTACTGTGGGAAAATAAATCACACACAAAAATGAGATTTTTGCCATTTTCTCCTCCTTACCCTGACCTCCATTTAGTCAAATCTAGGCCGGAACCATTCTGAACATGGGGATAATTTCGCTGGACTGGCAACTGCTATTACTTCAGAGCCACTGTACACAAAAAGTAGTCTGACTGCTAGCACTGGCCTAGATAACAATAGGAGGAATTAGGGCTTGGGGCTGCGTATAAAACAAGGCACAGTATTCTGACACTGCACTTTGTACGAGTGGAACTGGTGGTAAAAGGTTGCAGTGTATCCTTCTCCAAACAAGAGCGCTGCTGTTCAAGATTCCAACCAGCCATTCCCTCGGAGGGGAACTTAATTATACTTTTCCACACACCCCTGCTTATTTTCTACTTTGTTTTTAAAATTAATTATACAAAATTCTAGCACTAGAGATATAATACAGAAATACATGGAATTCATATATCAAATATTTATCTATCATAACATTTACATCTCTAGATCATATATTAATAATTGAACCTCTATTTGACTTCTTTTCTAAGGAGGGCTGTGTACACACCATACAAAGAATCCTGGGAACTGTAGTTTACCCCTCAGAGAGCTACAGTTCCCAGGATTATTTGGGGCAAGTCATGTGCATAGTGTGTACACTGCCTAATACTCAGCATCTATATTGAAGCAGTGTTAGCAGTCACAGTGGCATATAACAGCATACATACAGGACGTTTTTATTATATGACCTCAGTTAGGACCTCAGGGTTAACTGTAAGTAGAGGTTTGTTTTAGTTACAGGGTGTTCAGAACTAAAAATAATAAAAAAACCCTCTCTACCCCTACCAAAAATCTTCAGACATCTTTTAAAGTCTTCTAATGAAAGAATCCTCACCCATTTCCTAATACCAGCCCTGCTTGAGTTTGATGTCACTGAAGTCTGCTTCTCCATCCACAGTTGTTCCAGGGTAGACTGGTAATGTGGTTAAAGGATCTATACAATTATCAAATGCAGGTTGAGATACTGAACTCATGGACTGACATGAAAGGTCCTCCCATCTGCTGCTCAGTTGTTGCTGGCAGGGACTCCTATGCTTTTAAATGACTGTCACAGGCAAAATTCGAGCAGGTGTTGTTTCCTTGCTGCATCCCAGTTAAAGCTCCATCTGTTGAATTTCTGCTCTGACAGCTGGTAAAAATACAGGAAACTTGGGGTAGGGTCAGGGGGAAGGATGTTAACACTCTCCAGTACATGAAGCTGATTTAGTAGGGTGATCTCAGATCAAGTTCTGCACAGGCCATCTTCAAAGCACAAACTCAAGTCTGGAAGCTCCTAGACACTGCATTGTTTTATTATTTAGATGAGCTCACCAGTCTGTTCTATGGGGAGTTAATCAGGGACAAGAGTGGGGTTGACCTCCTAATACTGTTATTTACGAGGCCAAGAAAAGATGCAAGGCGCAGCAGCATGTTATATATTAGCCCCAGAGGTGAAGAGAAAGCAACAAATGGAAGAATTCAATTCTTATTTGATCAAAAAGCAGTTTGTTCAAGGTGCTGGTTCTTTCCTTGAAAGCTTCAAGTCAAGATAAGGAACCTTTTCCAGCCCAGGGACCACATGACAGTTGTCAGTGTGGCCAGAGGCAATGGTGGCTGGGGAAAATAGATGAGATTCTTACCGGTGTATAGGCGGCTATATTCCAGCTATGCAGAAGTCAAAGGTTTCTACTCTCTCTCTCTCCATCTCTGTCCAGGCAGAATTCAAGGACACATTCCAGCCAGGCAAAAGCAACTGAGGAGGGTGAGGAGCAGGCCCAGTGAGGGGCTACAGCTTGGGGAAGAGTTTAGAGATCTGGAAAGGGAGGACAGTTTTTGGCCTCTGGGACTGAGGTTCCCCATTCCTGCTCTAAAAGGTTTGCATCCAGGATAATAAAGACTATCTCCTCCCGTATGAACCTTCTTCCTCTTAAAGATGTGGGGATAGGGGTTCCACATTTCTATTGGTTTTGGAGGCATGAGTATTTGGAACATGGGAGAGGGTCTTCACCTATATTGTGGAACTGATGTGAGAAGTGAACCAGGCGGGAAAAAGCACAAGCAAGCACACGGAGGCAAGGTATGGGACGGTTCAAGCTCTCCTGTTCTGTGCAGCCCTTTTAATCAAAGTGAATGGAATAGCCACCCATGGTAACCTGCTCCATGTTTAGTTTAGACTAAACTGCAAGAGGTCTTTGAAACATTCTACAAGAAATTCTAGGTAGGAACATCAACACGAACACACTACCCTCTCAGGCGTTCTCTAACACATTATGATTACTGGAGATTGAGAGTATGCAAACCATGCACAGGAACAATAAGCTGGGATTACAATAATATTACCAATAAGGAATAAACTAGTTCGTCTTCACATTGGGTGCAGTGTAGAAGAAACCCTACAGCACAACAAGGATGGACAGGGGAGTATGAAGTCAACCAGTAAAAAAACTTCCAACTGCATGGTATGCTTTATTTGAAAATTCAGACAGAAACCCTGAGTTACCAGCCACAGACTCAGTTAAATAATAAAAAAGAAGCTGATTTTTTGCACTTTGCATCATGAGGCTCTGGATTGTGCTATTTGATAGAGAATTTTTAAAAACCAAAGACAACCCCCCACCTAAAAAATGGTATTTTCACAGTGGGAAAAGTTTTCTTACAAGCCCATTGCACGTTCAAAAGCTAGATATAATCCGGCAGAGGTCTAGGAGTCAACTGGATTCAAGGATATAGAAAAAGGAGTAATCCCAGAACCCTGCAAGTGGGAGAGTGTCCATGACATTGTGATGTCCAAATGGGGAAGGGGGGGAACAGAAGAAGAGAAGAAAGTTTGAAATCTTCTTGGATAGCAGCCACGTGGCCTGGAGGATAGGAAGCATGAAGTTCAAGAAGCTCATGCACACAATAACTCATAGATTATGTAAAAGAGAGAGAGTCTGCACAAACAGAGGGGATCCTAAGAACAAACAAGCCACCCCATTAGAGTGACCTTGGCGAGAGGGGAGGAGCGAATGCTGTTCCAGCTGTACCAGGTTTGCGTTGCAGGGGCATCAACTTGGCCAAGGCGCCTTTTTTTGCAAGTGGAGGAGATTGCCTGTGTCGCTAGCATCACGCCACGGATTGCTGCAAGTTCAAATTCTGTCATTCACCTATATAGATCCCTTTA